GGATTAGAGTAGAACGAGCGGCTGTCTTAGTTTATCGTGACTACCAAGAGAACCCATGGTAACTCTCAATTCCAGAAGCTCCTCTCTCAGCGGTGGACGTGGAAGTTTTTTAATGGAGAGTACCATAACGAAATAGACCACATCACAGTAAATAGAAGGTTTTGCCTAACCGATGTCGATGTTGTACCAAAATTCTACACAGGATCAGACCATCGTCTCCTTCGTGCAAGATTCCATTTTTCTCGGAAAGGAGAAAAAGCCGCTAAATTCAGAAACCGAAGTCCCAGAACCACCGTAAACTAGGAGTTATTCAATTCATTATTCGGCTGTTGGGAAGATGCTGTCGTCGATGACATCGACGAGCCATACGATAGGCTCGTTCAACATCTTCACGTTGGCACTATAAAAGCTGAATGTTCGAAAGTCACCAAAAGATGCCTGTCTCCAGAAACACTCGAGCTGATACGCCAGCGTGGAATCGTACGAGCTGCAGCCAACCACGAACTAACCTCCGAACTTGCAAAACAATGCAGACAGGCGATAAAAGAAAATCTTAGGAAGAGAAGAGCAGCAGTAATGGTCGAAGCTGCAGAGCCGTGATAAGCATTCGCAAAGCCCACTGAAGCTTCGCCAATTCCAGGACCAAAACGATTGCATTCCGACGCACAGACGGAACAGTTACAGCGTCCAAAAAGGCAGTGGAGAAAATCATTCACGAATACTAATCAGATCTCTTCGATAGCGGCAGCCACCTTCCGTCATGTGAAATAAAGGAGGATGGATATAATGTACCACCGGTTCTCCCTTCCGAAATCCGACATGCCATTTCGTCGGTGAAAAAACGAACAGCACCAGGTCCGGCCAGGATAAGACCAGAACACTTAAAAAACTTTCTGCCAGTTCTCGTAAACACACTGGCTCGGCTCCTCACATGTTAGCTGTCCAAATGCAAGGTCCCTACTTAGTGGAAGACCAGCAGGGCCGTGTTATTGTTCAAGAAGAGTGGCCTACAAGATATCGGCAACTACCGCCCAATCTGCTTGCTGTCCGTCGTGTACAAACTTTTCACTCAAGTCATCCTAAAAAGGATTGACAGAACACTGGACGAAAGACAGCCATGTGAGTAAGCAGGGTTTCGAAAATAACCTAGTACGACAGACCACATCCACACGATAACGAAACTCATTGAAGCGTCGCGCGAGTACAAAAAACCGCTCTACCTCACTTTCATCGATTTACAGAAGGCCTTTGATTTAACTGAGATAGAAGCAGTCATGGAACCCCTTGCTAGTCAAGGAGTCCCTACTCAGTACATAGAGATTCTTCTTGAGCTGTACAAAGGTTTTACAACCAAGGTTTCACCATTCTACAACGATTTTGGCGTTGATGTCAAAAGACGAGTTAGGCAAGGCCATACAACCACGCCAAAATTATTTACCGCCACCCTCCAGAACTATATTTATTTTTGCGTAACATTTCGACGTCTTCGTCTTCACCATCCGAGTCGATGGTCCACGCCTGTTATTCGTTTTATTCGTCTCGATGTGGCGGCTTCGCATTCGTGTCGACTCCGGTCTTCCCCAGCGGGCCATCTCCTCGGATGAGGCATACTCACTCGTTGATACCCTTTTATGCACGATGCTGGTGGTGGATATAATGATAATGTCCGGTGATAAGAAGTTTTTCTTCCGGGATCACATCATCGTGCACATCGTGCGGAAGTCGGTGTTATTATCAGCTAGTACAATAATAACAAGAGTGGACCATCGACTCGGATCATTGGCTCTGATGAAGACGTAGACGTCGAAGTTAGCCAAAAATAGATATACTTATCAACTTCGTGTAAGCTCATCAAGGAAAGAATACATATTGATTAGTCACACTCAGGTTAAAGGAAAGTCGGTTTCGAAATATTACTATGTCTTAAGAAAATTTTAGAGAAACTAGAATGATGGTAAGTGATAAGATGAATAAAAATTGAACGTACCACGTAACTCGATTGAGGTGAAGCATTAGGTGCTTTAAAGTTTCATAGTTGCACAGTGGTAGGCGTCGTACAAGGCGTTTCAGCTCTTCCAAATTTGTATCAACAAATTCATCAGTGTATTTCTGTAAGTGAAAAGATGACAAAGGATGTTTACAACACTTTCTCATTTTTTTGGTAGACCTTAAAAACAATCCTTTCGTTGTCTCACAAGAATCTCTATAAGAATACAATTTATAGCTATCAGATGTGGAACAGCGAATCACAGAGGTAAGAAAGAAGTAAGAGCAGTTTTACTGATAACCAGTAAAATGTAGCGTAAATGTTAATAATTAAACTTCAATGATGCTGAGATATTTGCAAAACTCCGGACCACAGGTGTATGCGGTGGGGAACGAACGCGTTATTGTCCTTTCCGGGGAGTAGCGCGTTCACCACCACACCATGCAGGTCCTTCGTTTCGCCTGTCTCTCAGCTAGTTCTATCGATCTTTGGCCATCGGCAATCACCCGTTAGCGAGATTGATCTGGGGGGCTAAATCAAGGGGGAAAAGACAATAGAGCGCTCGTTCCCCACCGCATACACCTACGGTCCGGAGTTTTGCAAATATCTCAGCATCATTGAAGTTATATTTCACAATGTATACTCTGCCGTTAAAAATAGTAGGCAGTAAATAATAAGTTAAAATTAATAATTTACTTCAATGATGCTGGGATATTTGAAAAACATAGAAGTTCAGAATTCAATAGGTTTAACGCTTCGCTCTACTCATTTAATGCACATTTTTATAGCATGCCGCCTCAGTTTCAAATGTATTTAAAAGTAGAACTTCCAAGAAGTTGATTATGAAGCTCAAGTTTTTAAAAGTTCCAATGGAAATTCTGTAGCTTTAGACATAAAAGGTACAATGGAAAACATTATTTTATCCTCCTGGATGAAATTCCACTGGCTTTTTGTCTCTGTTCTCAAAATATGAGCTTTGAAATAATAAAGTGGTACAAACATACGTCAGGCCCTAGAAAATAGTAGTTTTATCGTAACAAGAAAGCAAAACACTCTTGTCCTGTAGGTAGGTAAAAGCTTGTAGATTTTACTACTTTCCATTGCAATTAATGAAATTCATCGCGCTAAGCTACGTTGATTTAAAATTGAAAGCGACCTTTTAACCTGGCGTCATATGACTCTTATGGAAGTCACGTCGTCGTTAATTTGCTAAACAAGCTAGGCACCCAATAACATGTTAGAAATAAAGTTCAAACATAATCTGTTACATAAATTACTACGGTAGATAACATCGCAGGAAACTGCAGGCGAAGCCACATGTGAGCTTTGAACACCTTCAGATATTACAAATTTAAGACAGTGAAAGAACTGAAAAGATGTTGGGACCCGCGTAACATGGGAAGTAAGAGCAAGATCGAAAACATAGTAAGAAACCAGTAAAGATGGAAAGATTGTTGTAAAAAAAATAGCTATAAAGAGGGCGATAACCTTTGCCTCATTACTTCTACAGGAACAAAAAAGAACATATTTCAGTACGTAGGCTATGGATAACACTTCGAATATTACCCCAGCGAGCGGCAAAATTTGTTCTCAGAAATATTCAAAAATGCGCCGAATATAACTGTCATCTTAAACCAAAAATTTCAACTCTCATCTGCAACGTTTTCGCCAAATTCAGGAAACATCCGAAATGGTTTGTCAAACATTGTAGTGGCAGAATATTAGTAGGTGTCGAAGCGGAAATTATAACAGAAATTAGTATCCAAAAGAGTTTTCTAAGTTGAGGAATTCAACATATGCACGCAGAAACCCTGCTAAGAGCAAACCAATGCTGGGAATCACCGTCTCCTTGGTACTAACGTTGACGCCAGGTGTCAGATCTTCTTCCTATTCTAAGTCCCCAGTAATTGTTTTTTGTGACGGATTTTGGAGATTCTAGTACAGTTACTTCAATCACAAAAGAATTCCTGGACCAGGAACTCATTGTTCAAGTGGAATCTGTGTTATGACTAGAGCATTTCTTTGTGGAGACGAGTTTTTCAAGCATCCAGGCCAGTATCTTATTCATAGCAATAGAGCTGCTCGAGAAAAAGGAAGAATTAAGCTTTAATTGGAAATCGAACGCTCATGACCAACCACATGGAAACATTAAAATTAAATGAGCTCCACCCTAGTACAGAACCTGAAAAACGCAAAAAATCGATTTCGAGGCATTCTCTGGAAGAAACGATAAAAAAGGTGGCCGTAGGGACCGATGCTTTTCACCAATCCGCCTTCATGAATGTGGATTAGATCTCTATCATTTTTTATGAACTTTAAAAATCTTCTTAACCGTTCCCCAAGAGTATCGGAATTTGACCAAAAACAAAGAATGAACAAGTTCACTACCAGAAAAAATCACAATCACGCTCCCTGTCAAAAATCTTTACATAACAGCAATTGATACGAGACCATATATCCAGGAAAAGCAACTCTGATCTGAAAAAATTCTCCCAACGGTTTACCGCCTCATTGTGGCTGGGAGGTGTTCCTGGGTGTCGGACTGCGATGTACAGCGGGGGATTCATTCCATGGCATGGTCTCCCAAGCTGAAAAAGAGTCCGGCGTTTCCATCAGGAAGCCTAGCTAAGAGTAAACCAATGCCAGGATCCACCACCGTCCTGGTATCAAAGTCGCATGGTGGCAAAACCCTCTCTGATCCACAGGGGTGCGACTGCCTGTCGTGGTGACGACCTGGGGCAGACTTTGGCCAGGCTGTCCTCGGGATTCCAGAGAACCACAATGGCTTAACCAGCAAATCTCCGAAAAATGGTGATTATGCTGGAGCTTGCACAGTTACTGAGGATGGGCTGTTCAAGTATCAAGTATCAAGCAAGAAGAAATGAGAAGCTTCTCGAACAAAAACTGGAAAGCATCAACGTGTTTTACAGGGATTTCATTACTCTGTATGTACCAAGTACTTCGTAAGTCCATCCAACCAACGAAGCAGCTGAGTGTTAACAAGAATTTAACATCAACACAGATCAATGTACTTCACCAGAATTTCCGTAGAAAATTGCTCCGACAAAACAACACCATATAGCAAACTCGCTTGTTGCTCACTCTGAAGTGATTGGACCGAAATTCGCTTGAGAATGAGAAAAAAAAAACAAAAAAAACAAAAGCAAGCATGAAGTTGGAAAAATTTCGTTAACCCATTAAACCAATATGAAGAACTTAAAAAAAAACATGCCATTCCGAAGTGGATCCATTCGTTATAGAGTTCGTGTGTCATCAGCGGCTCCGGTAATTTCCTGAGATAGAGTTTCACCACACACGCTAAATTCATCGGATGAACGTGACTGATGTCAACTGTTGAACTTCGTGAACATCGCTCAAATGCCTCACAGATCTCCTCAATCTTCGATTTCACCCCACATGTTCGATAGATACCCTGGAAAGAAATTGAATTATAAAAGAAATTCGGTCAAAAAACTTTTTCATTCCCGAGACAAATTAAGGACATGCACAATTTTGGCGAGCCCTACAGCACACTGTGTTACTGTCTCAGCGAGATCATCTGCTTCTAGTACGTAGGCAGAATGCAAGAGTATGAATAACAAAGCGCTCACTATAGATCGGTCCCTAGAGATGGATCGTGCATTCGGCACCATTCATAGCACCAGAGAGGTGGCTGAATGTGTATTAGACCTACGCGACGACTTGCGAGAGTACATCAAAGCACCAAACTAGCGTTTTTATTGTCTCCAAAAAATCTGGCACCAATTTGAGTAACCCAAAAAGGGAAGAAGGCGGGTTCGACTCATGGGGATCGAACTGCTTACTACACGTGTGCATTGCTGTGGACTATTAACCATTGCGTTATGCACTCTTTTGAAAAGCAATTTTTTTTATTACTTTGCACGATCTGTCTTCTTGCATTCAATTCGTTTCCTGGAATCCATCGTTCACGAAGTTCTCAAAACATTTCTGTGCGTGGCTTCGATTGTTGCTTGAGGATCTCTTCGATTTCATCGTAAACGCCGTTGAATGCTGGTCGAGTCGATCATCCCTGGAGTCCTGAGGTGGAGCATTACCTCCTGGATTACAGGAAGTCAAATTTTCGCAGACGTGTCTTATGTCTTATGCCGATTTCAAGCCTTCGAAAAGAAGAAAGGCTTAGTGAACCCAGTGCGAGATCGAACCAGGCCCGTGCTCGTGATGGTCGGCATCACTACCACTGCGCTATCCGCCCAATCAAAATGAAAGATGAATTTTCTCGAGTAAATCGACGCAACTGAAGTTTTTCAAATATCGAAGATTTTCTGATGAGATCGAGAACAAACAGCTTATTAAATTTATAAATGTCAACGTAAATGATCGTTAAGGTTCAGTAGGCTGCTCAGTAATGAGGTGTTCATGAAAGGAAAAGCATAGTGCAAAAATCCCAGAGGATCATCCAATATTCAACTTTAAAATATCAGCTATGGGTTTGTGCAGTAAACCTTCGAGTGCTTAACAAAACAAAATATCCTTTTGTGATATTTGAGTTTGAATAGTTGAGTGTACTCGAACATCTTCAAAATATTGTTCCAAGCTTTAGGCCGGGGATTTTAAAACGGGAGAACGGTAATGAATGGTAGTGCAGAAAACGCCCACGAATGAACTAAAGCGAAACCTCTAACCAAACTAAAGCGTTTTTTCTTGCTGACGTTGTGGGGTTACGGATTTTTTTCCCACTTGAAACCGACTAGTTTGACAAATTTTATCTCTAGACCCTTAATGACCATATTTTGCTTACGAAATGTGATGCCTTAAAGCAGTTATCGCTTTTGTTTTCACTCACCTTCACTCTCATTCCTCGTTTCTGTAGTTCATCAATCGACGACTCGATGATTAGCGGTATGCGCCTCTCTTGTTGTTCAAGATGACCTTGTAACGAAACACCAAAGATGCTCATACGTCTATCACTTGGCCTTTCCGATTGTCCGCATGTCTGTGTGGTCTGCAAGCGCTGTCGTATACTCGAGTAAACAAATTGAATAAACACAGTAATACATATAGTATAAATATATTCATAGCTTTTATCGTCCCATTTCTCATTTCATTCATATTCGAATTTATTTTCACTCTATAATTACTGTTTCCCAATCTCTCAAAGACCCTCAGTACCGCACTACTTCATACATTTGATCTCTGAGAAAATGATAACGGATTTCACCCCTTGTGTTTTTAAAGTGGCATACTTCAGCTCATAATAAACTTTATTGGCAGAAGTAATTAAAAGCTCGAGTCTACAGATTCAGGTCTATTTAGACCAGTTGGCCAAACTTCTGGTCTTCTGGAGGCCACGAAGTCGTAGAAGGAAGTTTCGGCCTCCACATGGCCACCGAAACACTTCTCGTGCCGAAAGTTGTCAAGATACTTGCAGAAGTGGTAGTCGAGAGACGAGAGATCGTAGCCCAAATCGCTCAACTTTTGACCGTAGCATGCATGACGCTTCGCCCTTTGTCAACTTGCTAGACGTATTTCTCCACCGTAATTGTTCCACCCCGATTTCGGATGCTGTTGTGGATTAACAAACACTACCTAATCGCCGTGACCTTTTTTTTAGTGTAATTTCGGCTTTGGGAAGTGCTGCGGAGCATCATCTATTCCAATCACTAGGCCCACTGCCGCCAGATGTCCAAGAGTATACATTTCCCGTCGCATATCATAAAACGGTCGAAAAACATGTCATTCTGCTTTCGCAGATGAAGCATCGATATATCTCAAAACGGCGATCTCTCTAAATTATACTCAATTTGTGCGGCACCTATTCGTACAGCTTCTCAGGCTTTCTAATGCTGTTTAAATGTCACAATTTAAATATATATTGCAAGTTCTTCCACAATTTCTTAAACTGTTGTGCGTTCATTTGCTCACACAGAAGGCTTCAATTTATCGTCTTCAGTAGTAGAACCACGTTTGCAGCCTCTCTGCTCTTGAAAGTCGAATTCGCTTTGATCTAGAAATCTACAAACCAGCGCTATACCGTACATCCGATAACACTTTCTTAGCTCTATATGCCTTAGATTTTCGTGCCGTTTGGCTGCACTACGTCCGGGTTTGAATTCGTCGAAAGAGATTTGTCAGGGTTTCTCGAAAGACCGACGTTCTATAAACCTCGGCATAGATAGTTGGTATATTTATTTACATGATCTTATAAACTGACTTTTTTCAGCTGATGCTAGGTTGCTATAGGTCTTCGTTGTCGTTGTTGTTGTTTTTGCTGTTGTTTTTGTTCGTCGATGGTCGACGTTGCGGCGATTTCGCCTTCCTCAGAGCCGTAATGTTACGTGTCGGTCCCACTTACCAACAACAACAACAGCAACAACAACGACAACGACAACGAAGACCTATACCAACCTCGCATCAGCTAAAGAAGATCAATTTATAAGACCATATGAATAAATATGTCAAGGTTTTTGTTCTGGCATCTTAATTTATAAGCTTTAAAAATGTCAAGTTTTCTTATAGTTCAACCATATCCCTCAAGAGCGCATAAAATATGCTCTGAGATGTTGTATAATAGTACAAAACTCGAAGAAACTGTTGCTAAAAATATTGGAGAAAAATGGATTACAAATCCGACACTAATTTCCTAAAGATCTAATATTACCTAATTCGAAATCAACACAATTTTTCTCAGGCCGATTTTTTAACATGAGCCAAAGACATCACTCATTCTTGTAAGACATTGGGCAGCTAGTCTTTAGCGATAATCAGAAGACTAAAAAAGAACAAGAAGGTCACTGTTCCAAAAAGAAGCTTTTTCTATGCGAATGAAATTTATGTATTAAGTTTTTCTGCTCCTCCCAACAGTTTACCGCTTCATCTTGGCTGGGAGGTGGTCCTAGTTGTCGGACTGCGATGTACAGCGGGGTATTCATCCCCTGGCGGGGTCTCCCAAGCTGAAAAAGAGTCCAGCATTTCCATCAGGAAACCTAGCTAAGATAAACCAATACCAGGATTCACCATCGTCCTAGTATCAAAGTTGCATAGTGGTAAACCTTTCTCTGATCCACAAGGATTACGACTGCCTGTGGTGGTGAAGACCTGGAGCAGACTTAGACCAGACTGACCTCGGAACTCCAGGAAACCGTAATAGCTTAACCAGTAAATCTCCGAAAAATGGAGATTATGCTGGGGCCCGTACGATCAGTGAGGACGTGCCATTTATGTATAAAGTATCAAGTTTTTCTGCTTGGGAGATGAAAGCGTTTGGCTAAATAGGTGCACGTCAATTTGACCTCTCCAGATGAAAAGGGCTAAACAGCCGAATCGTCAACCATTATTGAATGAACCTTGTTATTGGCAATCCCAGTTCTGGTCAAGAAGAAAGCGCTAAATTATTAAACAGCACCAAGGTTAATAGAAGCTTGGACCTAAAAACATCTGTATTTTTGGTAGATATTACACGTTAGAAATTACAATCATGAAAGCAGAAAATCCGTCAAATTTACTTCTGCGACTTTAAACCCGGTCATACGCAGCGCGAACGGATCCCGGCATTAATGGGATATGGGCGCCACGGATGCTTTAACGAAAGTAGGGTGCAACGTCGGTTCCAAAAGCCTTGTCATGGCAGATCCGAAGCTGAAGGAAAGGAAGGCCATGGACGAAGAAGATGATGAATTAAAGGATTCGATTAAAGCAAGTATAAGCACAGCTGATCGAGAACTCGTAGAAGAACTCGGTGTAAGCGTCTTGTCTGTTTCGGACCATGAATACTTGAGAAGAAGACTTGACAGTCGATAAAGCTCGACAAATGGATGACGCACGAATTGGCAGCACGTCGCACTTCCGATGCAGCAAAAGTTGGACGCATCCGACCACGAAACTCTTCCTCACCCACCATACTCACCTGACCTCAAGCCTAAAGACCAACATTTTTGCCAGATCAGCCCTCGGCCATGTATTACTCTGTGTAGCTGCTCTCCACCAACTAGTTGGAATACAACGGCTCTGAAGAAGGCGAAACCGTCGTCGGCAATTATATGGTAATAAATTTTATAATACCAACCTCGTGTCTGCTTATTGAGGAAAAACAGCGACTTATCAATCAATGCAGAGGTTAATAGAAAGTCGGTCTTGGGAATTTCTGCAAGAATCCGGACACCTTCCTGCGCTAGAAATGCTTCAGGAATCGAGCTGAGCTCGCAGCTGCCTTCTACAACATCACCGCTACCAGAAGTTAGGCATTGTATGCAGCATCAATAGCATATTTGCTTTTTGTAGATAACAATCTTTAGATTCTAATGGTCTTTATCTGATACAAGGGAATTTGTTCTGAGCTGAGATATGTCATGGTGAAGGAGATTTAAAATCGGGCACTCATTTCCGGAAAACCTACTATTTACTTCAGATTTTCAGTTGCGAATAAGAAATGTTTTTGGGGGTGACTTAAACTGTTCTTGAAATAAACTAAAACCGTATCCCTATGAACTTTAGAAACATTTTCATTCTGCTATTCAGTTTTCTTTCTGAAGATGCTTCAGACAAGGAAATGAATAAGCTCCACAAAATTAAGTGAAAGCAGGAAAAAATAAAGGCCGAAATGGAAAAGACCCATGCGATAGCTTCCAATGTAGTTAACGCTAGTGATGCTAGATAATCACTCAATACCTTTAGTATAATCCTCTTCTATGATCCGTTAGATTGAAATTGAATGAGCAGATCAAGCATAGTTTCTTATAGATTAATAATGTTATGGAAGGATCTTCTTTTTCATAGATTCCTAAAACGACCGTTCTCCACGGAAATAATTGTAGAGATTTGACAAGTCCCGAGCTTTCAGAAAGAACAGCAAAGTCCTTCCAAATTTAGGCGATCTGCTGACAGATGAACTCGACGATGAACCCGCAATTTGTCACTGAGAAACACTTCTTGCCACGATGAGTCAATGAGCTATTGAAGCAGCACAGACAAGAAAATAGATCAATGTTGACATAGCAATGAATAAAGATGCTAGATTTCGCAAATTACCTGTATCACCTTTTGTCCTGTTTATCCTCGAGTGATTCGAGCAAGCTCCAGTAAATCTTCCATTTCTCTTCGTAACGTGCAAGACTCGGCCAGTGCGTTTTGCTCGCCCTAGGGACTCGTTGAACAACACGCCTTTCTTCTAGGCTTTTCGCGAAGAACTGACCATCGGATCAAAGGTCTTTTTGCAGGGCGTTTGACATCCTGAGGAATCCACTCACTAACGGCTTTTGTTCATCGGTTGTCGGTCAAATGCATTACGTGTCCGGCTTATCATATCTTCTACTGATTGGCGTACACAACAACATCTTTGATTTTTGACTGTTCACCCAGGTCGGAGCTTCGGATCTCTTTCCATACTTACACGGAATACTCCTAGCATCGTTCATTGGACTGCGCGTTCGATGACACTGAGTGATCCTTCATCCTGCTGACGCAGCTACCAGGTTTCTGATGCATACGTTAAGGCAGGAAGTACCGGTAAGTCGAACAGGTGGGCATGGAGTCGGGTGTTCATTGTTCTCTTCACTACATCTTCGATCTTCTCGAAAGCTCCCTAAGCCGCCCATTTCCTTTTTCGGCTCTGGAGCTAAGCCGTTCAACATGTTGATTTTCGACCAAACTAGATGTAACTACAACATTCGGAGACATTGGACTCCAGGAAACCATAGTGGCTTAACCAGAAAATCTCCGAAAAATGGAGATTATGCTGGGGCCTCCACAACCAATCAGGGCGGGCCATTCAAGTGTCATGTTCAAGTATCGAGTAACTTTTATTGGGATGGGGTAGCGCAGTGCTAGTTCTAAGATCATCGATCAGAATGCAAAGACACTAGGTCGACGCCGAGTGACATAAAATAAAAAAAAATAACTTTTACTCGTTGCCTGTTCTTTTTCGATGGGGAAATGATATGTGAAATACAAGCACAATAGAACAATAAGCATAAATTACTTTTGGTGGCTCCTCCAGAGCATACTTTGAAAAGAATTCTTCCCAGTCTTCGGCTCGATCAACATCAAAGATTGTCTGGAAAGGCAAAAAAATGTTAGATGGTTCAATTCGTGACAAAAAGAGTGTTCAGTGAGTGATATCGCCAATTATCAACAATGGCACGTAAAGAAGTTAATAGCAAACCGATAATAACTAGGAATATGAAACAACGATGAAATACTCACAAAAGCATGAGCAATAAAGTACTGAACAGTTCGATTTGCGTGTTGGGCGTTTATGATAGCCGTCGTGTGATCGAGGGAGTTCGGTGGTTGCCAGACGAGAGACGGCGCCACCACTGTCGACAAATTCGACGGACTCATCAGATTCGAATCGTGGAACCTGAACATTCGTCGGATGTGAAATTTGTCACAGTAGAATTTCATGAGTAAAAAAGCTCAATATGTATAACTTGTTGTGTTTAATACGCATAGCGTTCGACAATGGATCGAGAAAATGCAACCAGTTCAAAAGTGATAACGATTTTCAAGTATAAACCCAGATTTCTCGACTCACACTGCATTATATTAGTTCAAACAAAGGCACTAAGAACCTTCAGATCTTTGGTACCAAGAAATGTTCTCCAATTCCCCTAAGAAACCGCTGATTTTCTGAAACCAATGAGCTGTCATTATTCTCCTGCTTTTCTTTCTTTTACCAAGAATCCTATTTCAACCGCCAAAGCAGTTGAACAAGTGAGATTTCGCTGGTACATCTTGTAATAGTTCCCAGGATCGACTTTCTCTTAATCTCGGCATTGGAATATGAATGTGTCGTTTTCTTGTTCAGCAATCGCGAGGTTTTTAAACAGCGTACATTTACTTCCATAAAAACACAATACAATACAACGCTAGCTGACGATTCGGCAGTATCGCATTCTTCAGAGCCGCTTTTTCGTGACTTCCAATGAGGAAGTTTAGAACAGATTTTTGATGTGGGATGGTGCAGTCGTCAACCACATGCGACTATAATCAGCTGTTCTAAACTTCCTCATTGGAAGTCAC